AATCAACATACGAAGCGAAATCAACAGACGAAGCGATATCAACAGACGAAGTGAAATCAACAGACAAAGCGATATCAACAGACGAAGCGAAATCAACAGACGAAGCGATACCAACAGACGAAGCGAAATCAACAGACAAATTGATGTCAACCGACAAAGTCATCATGGATGACAGCAGCAGCTCTTCCCCCTCAGTTATAATAGTGGCTATATCTTTAGGAGCAGTGCTTTTCGTGGCGTTGATCATTCTTATTGCTGTCATAATACTAAGGCGAAAAAAGCGTCAGGGAAAAGGTAGAGTCTCCAGATGTTGTAAGGATTAAACCATTATATTTATTTCTCACATAAAAAAAAAAAAAAAAAAGTTGTCATGATATGATGATTTAAAATCTCTTCCTTCGAGGAGGTCAATTACTGTACTGTACTGTACTGTACTTCTTCTGCCTCTCGGTGAAAATCACTGACTCTGTCAAACATTTTCAAATGATATTTAGTTTTGACTGAATCCTTGGCTTATGAGGTCGAATATTGCTGTAGTACCAAAGTGACGTACATTCATATGCCTGAAATGGAAATTGATTCCTCTTACCTTATATAAAAAGTCCATAACTAATTAATTACCGACTCTTCTTTTCTTTGTCATCTCGGTGCTCATAAGCGATATTAAATTGAAAACCAGCTTTGAATAATAGTAAGTAGTTTAACAAATATTGAAACAATAGATTTTACGATGATCACAGGTAAAACACAAAAAAAGTGATGTAGGTTACACTTATATGTCGATGATATAAAAACATTCTTTCTTTGTCGCTTTAGCCACTATTACTGTTTGCCAAGAAAAAAAAAATGCGGTGTTAGAGAATGTAATGTTTCTTTATTTTTTCAGATGAAGAAAGTGCTGCGCCGAAGAGGTCAGTGTTTCTTGTTTGATTATTTGTTGTTCGTTGGTTTTTTTTTTCCTCGAATGTTTCGAGTTTCTTACAACACATTATTGCCAAATGATAAAGCCGGCTGGTAGTTACTGAATTATACAGGGTAAGGTAAGCTCAGCATAACAGCTTTTGCTGGAATTCCCATCCTTTCGTAGCATGGAGCAATCACGAGTATTGCTACTTTTCCCTTCCTTAAATAGAATGCCAGTCCATTGCAGGGTAACCCCTCTCCCCTTATATTTCGTCAGTTATCCTTGTTAAACGAGGTCTGTAGATACCAGTCAATACTCCTGGATGGAGATAGCTTTTGGAAGAGCTGAATCTAAACCCTTAGCAAGGAGTTGTGTAAACATCATTGAACAAAATAACCTGCAATGGAAATGATTCTCAGAATGATACTCAAACGGTACTCATCACATGTTGCTGATAAACAAGACTACTCCACCACCACCCCCTCTCCTCCCTTTTTAAACAGACAATGAAGTAAACATTAGTTCTACATTAATCATGTCATTTTTCTTTTATTAAAGCAGTGAAAAAGACCACTTAGCAGGGAGCCAGTATGAATCTGTAAATCCAGTTGAAGCCGCAAAGCTTCTTAGGTCTGCCAACACCTCCCCCGATGTGAGTAAGACTAGGTACGAACCACCACCAGAAGATTGTGAATATGCCGTTGTCAACAAGGCAAACAAGAAGGTGAGCATTTAGCTTAAAACTTTGAAACGTAATTGAGATTGCATGTAGTTTTAAGTCAATTTCCACCAGAGCGATATACTGTAATAAACGAGATATGTACAGCAGATGAAAGAAAAGATTCATGTAAGTAATACAAGCGCATTGGAAAGAATTGAGCACATGAAAAACATAATAAACATTCTAATCTAAGTAGGGAATCTAAATATTGATCTTTGCAAGATCGAGTCCTATTGCATTGAAATTCTGCTATAGGTGTCGTCTGCCAAAAAAAGAAAAAAAGGGGATCACCGCTGTATCATAGACTCGTCTGTAGCATTACCGCCAGGTTGCGCATTTTTATTAATTATTCTTATTACTTTTATTCAAGCGAAAGGAGGCAGACCTTGTGTACGCTCAACTTGCTGAATTTGACCATGAAACTGACTTTGCAAAGCCACCAAAACCACCCAGCTATGAGCCCACGGTATACGCTGATGTTGAAGAAATGCCTCCTGAGTTGCCTGGTAGAGAGGATCCAGACTCCTCACAGCCAACGTACGCAAATCTTGAAACGACTGGTGTCTGAATGAAAAAAACAAACAAACAAAAACAAAAACAAAAATGTAATAGATTTATGTTAAGATAATGGTGTTGGTTTGAACACACCCAGCTGCTGATGTCCAGTTTAGAGTACTATAAATGAATTTAAATAAAGTTTTCGCTAGATGGTATCGAGGAAAATTCGAGATATAATGTTCTAACTTAAGATACTAATTAGAGAAAGACAGAGAGAAACAGTACCGGTAATCAAGTATGCACAAAGATTCCTTTGAAGGGGTCCAGCCCCGTGTGTTTCTTATAAAAAAAAGTGATTTAGAAAATACATGTGAATTATGATATCAAAATTAAGCATATTGATTTGAATGATCGAATAGTTTTATCCAAACGATTATCTTATCGGTTTAGAATCCATCCGAAACCAACTGCAGCGAAAATATATTACTCTATCTAAAAGGCCACAGACCATATGCACATAAGTTCATGCTTGAGTAATAGAGAGAGAGAGGAAGAAGGATGGAGGAAAAATAACCTTGACTTGAATTTTTTTCCTTTCTACTGTGGCGTACAGTTTCTTAGACAATGCCTGACCCTGACGATCTCAATCTCGCCGGCGAAGTATTTAGATAACATTCCAGAAATATCCAACACAATACAGCCCTGCTTTACCTTAATTTAACCAGTACACTTTGTTTCTCCTTTAATAATATTAAGCTTAAGAGAAAAGCTGACATTAATAATTAGTGATGTTTTTCTCACTCTAAATTTTTCCCATTGCCTGTTCCTGATTTACATTTTCCTTGAAGCGTGATCTCTTGCCAAACTTCCGCTGTTTCCACCCAAGTCACACCTTGACTGACCGGAAATTGCGTCGAAATCTTAATTAGTAGTTCAAGCGCAACTTTCTCTTTCGTGGCGTAATAAACATCTTCGTCCGAAGCACTGAACAATGGATTTAGTGAATGTGTATGCATTGATAATTCTCGGAGTTGATTTGTTGCTGTCGAGAACAGGTAAATGAGAGAGGAATATTTGATAATTCTAGAGTTTATGAAATGCAAGCACTTAATCTAATGTCGAGTTTCATTATTTAGTTACTCGAGATCATGGCGTTTAAGATTTATTCTGAACGTTTAGACTGACCCAGCTCATTACTTTCGAGTTGAATCGATAAAAAATGAATTCTTAATTGAAGAATCTTGGGGCAGAAGGCGATTTGATTGATTACAACAGATATTTGTAAAGACTTGAAAGCCGAGCGACGGACTTGAATGAAACAAATTTGCAACGAGAAGGAAGTGGCAGTTTGCGTGTTTAAATCATTAATGATCAAACTTATGTATACTGCATAATATTGGCTTGGTAATCATGTTAAATAACCCAACATCCTCTAGTCGCTTTCATCCAGTTTAAGCTATAAAGCTGTTTGCTTTGTGTTCATCGCGACAGTACGCTGATTTTTATGAAGTTAAAAAACGATTGTAATATATAGCGTGACCGATTGACGTCACGGTAAACTCACATGACATGCAATGTGTAACGCAACTCAGGCATGTTGCATAGGAGAATTAATGAATTTGTACTGTGTACCGACTTTTACTTTATACACTATTTTTAGCATATTACGCTGCTTGCTTGTTGAAATGAAAACCATGTGAATGATAACGATTTTAGAGAGTCTAACATAATCTAACTTCTAGCGCCAGTCTTTCTTGTGTATGCGGGTTAAATTAAAGAAGTTTAAAATATGGTCGCTATTCCTCAGATCCTCCTTCTGTGTAAATTAGGTCCGCTTCAGAAGGGGTAAATGATGATGATGATAATAGCGACTGTCTCCAAGAAAACTCAAAATTGATTTTCTGCAGGTAAAAGTTACCCAGTAAACAATGCATTCTATCATAGGCACATAAAGACACATTTCACTAATTATTACTCTAACTTCTATGTAATTGTGTTATTCCAGATGGAGAGAGGCTATGTTCCTGTTATACCTTCAGTAAAAAACAATGGTCATGGTCAGATGCGAGGGGCTCCTGTAAAGCCAACAATAAAATACTGGCAGTGATGGAATCAGAGCAGGAATGGCAATTTATTACAAATGAGATTCAAAATAAAACAAGCAAGCCAAATAATGAATGGTTTATAGGCTTGGAAAAAAATTCAACAACAAACAGATGGACTTGGATCAATGGTAAATCTGTGACTATTGACAAATGGCATAAGGAGGTCAACAATCCAGACCCAGATGACTCTTACGGAATGATACATAAGGAATATCCAAAGGGATTTAAAGGATCATTAAGTACCGCTAGGGGCTACTTACAAAGAGGATGGATTTGCGAGGAAGAAACAGGTATTGATCAGTACCAGAACGAGTAAAGAATTTTTTTTAATCGACGGCTGTTGTTATACAAGAGTTTGAATTTTCTGTGGGCTAACCTCACCCTCCCTTCCCCGTCCTTTATCTTTCCTATCCCCATCCTACTCTTTCCGAAGGCCGCCACCGCGACCACCTTACCTCTGATAATCCATCACCATTAGGGGAACAGACTCCGTAATCCTAGCCGCATATTTACTTAAAGCCTTCTAAATTATAGGGAAGAGACATAGAAAATTTAACATTTGTTCGAGGCATTGAGCTAGCTTGAGAAACAATACACTTCCTTGTTATCTGGATATCACTCGAGAAATCTATAGTGGCAGTGACAGTAGTTATGT